CTTTGACCATTTGACCTTGACCTAGGAGTTTGACCTACTTTTGAAAAACTTTAACCTTGGCCATAACTTTTGAACTGTTGGTATGAGGGCTTTCATACTTCACATGTGTAATCCTTGTGACAAGACCTTCCGTTGGATACCAACATCTTTGACCCTTTGACCTTGACCTTGGAGTTTGACCTACTTTTGAAAAACTTTATCCTTGGTCATAACTTTTGAATGGTTGGTGCTAGGGCTGTCATACTTCACTTATGTAATCCTTTTGACAAGACCTTTCTTTGGATACCGACCACTTTGACCATTTGACCTTGACCTTGGAGTTTGACCTACTTTTGAAAAACTTTAACCTTGGCCATAACTTTTGAACGATTGGTGCAACAGCTTTCATATTTCACATGTGTATTTCTTGTGAGAAAGCCTTCCGTTTGGCACCATTAATTTTGACCATTTAAACTTGAATGTTTGCCTTACTTTTGAAAAAACCTTAACCTTTCTATTCAATGTTTGCTACTATGGATTTCATATTTCACAGGTATATTTTTCGTGCTATATGGGGCCATCAGTGTTTCACAAAAATATCTTGTTTCATATATGTATTACTATGTTAAACTTTAACTTTCATTTATAGCAGCATCCTATAGCCCTAGGAGTCCTGATTTGAACAAATTTGAATATACATTACATGACAATTCTTGCATATCTTGATTCATATTTAGTATGAAAAGGTGAATTAAAAATTTAACTTGCTGTCCTAAGCAATAGGACAGAACTAGAAGGTATTCGTGCTCACAAACACATTAATGAAACATCCAATGTTAAATTTGATTTTCATGCAGTTTTTCTCTTTATTAGTCCCCTACCGGTGAAACCGGAGGGGACTATAGGTTTCCTCTGAGTCTGTCCGTCCGTCTGTCTGTCTGTCTGTCTAGCTGTCCCTCTGTCTGTCTGTCAGTCTGTCCCACTTGGTTTTCCGCACTTTTTTCCTAAACGCTTGCAGATATTGAGCTGATTTTTGGTATGTGAGTGTATCTTGATGAGTTACAGATCAAGTTTGCATTTCGTTCCGCTTCATTGATTTTTGACGGAATTACGGCCTTTTCAATTTTTACGGGTTTTCCGCAATTTTCTTCTAAACGCTTGTAGATATTGAGCTGATTTTTGGCATGTGGCTTCACCTTGATTAGTTATAGATCAAGTTTGCATTTCGTCCCGCTTCATTAATTTTTGACGGAATTATGGCATTTTCAATTCTTAACGGGAACGGAACCAGATTACACTTGCCGGTAGGGGACTAGTATTGCTAATGCAATACTCTCAGAATGCTTGTTTTTCTTTAAACATTCAGAACCATGTAGATATTTCTTCGTGTGTCTAAGTATCATTTGAATGGATTTCTGCAAAGTGCAATGGCTTTTTACTGTACATTTTTTTATTTCTTGTAATTATTGTGCACTTATGTAAACTGGAAAAACTTCTGGATTACATGTAACTATATGAAAGTTCCCTTTCTGAACAATGATTGTATTTATATATAATTTTGGCATTTGGACATTTACTTTTTTCTCTTTGTTCAAGGGGCTTAATCATTTTTGATTTTTTACTGCAGGTATATGCGAGAATTCAGATTATTTTTTTCTTATTATAAAAAGAGAACTACATTATATATTAAACAGAAAACGTTACATTTTTGTTTTATTGCAATGCCATTTTTACGCATATATAATTTTTCCATAATTAAAAAATCTACATTTACCGTTATGATTAAAAATCATGCTACAAATAATTCTTTAATTCAAAAATCATGAAAATAAAAACTTAATATATCTTTATATAAGCGAATTGATAAGTTTAGCCGCCTAAAGTTTAATATTTCATTAAAAGTTTCTCAATAATTTTTATAGTATATATACATGCATCTAATTTTTTCTTTGTATCATGTGTCCTTGATAAACTTTCCACAAAAATTTTAGCTTTTACAAAACAAATAAATTCTCATATTAATCCTGCAATATTGACAGATAATACCTCTCAGGATTGACTCGTGGTTCTGGAACACGTAAAAGATTTGAAGCACTGAAAACAAGTACATGTAATCTATCTGGGAACATTAGCAACTCTCAAAAATGACAGCTTGTCCACTTAAATCTGGAATAGGGTGCGAGATGTCAACGTTATCTATTGTAGCACTGCTTATGACCACCTACGCCAATTCCTTTTTATGATAAGAAATAAATATTGTCTTCAGTGACGAAATGGGTCAGGAAGGAAGTACTTCAGAGTGCTTTACACTTCACAGTGTTTCAAATAATATAATCACAATGCTCAAATATACATACGTTCCGCATTTCTAGTTTCATTTTTTTTTTTTTTTTTTTTTTTTTTTGCTGTCAAATGAATGTGATTTATTTTAAATTCACGATGTAATAGATAAATAGATAGACAAATATATTATATGAATATGCTTAATGTAAGAAAAAAGGATTGGTCCATTGTCTAAAACAAGAAAATTCAAGCTTTATGTACAGGTTCATGTATTTATTGTGAGTAAACACCTTTTGACCATACGCTCCATAAAATAATATATTTTAAACTGTTAAATAATCAAAGAGTTGAAAAGAAATTCTCATTTTATGATAGAAAAAGTGATACAAAGAAAGTATAATTACTAGAATGAAACTTAAAATAACTTTTTTCATTTTATTTTTGTTGAAGTAAATAAATGCAAACAAATTTATAAAATTAAATATTAATTAACTCTATATTTAAGAAGAATCACTAACTAAAGAAAATTATTGAATCATTCGTCGACTTTCCAAAAAGGTTAGGTGCACAATTAGTCATATAATATACAAGCTTATCCATGCATCGTATGGAATAGCTTTGTTCAAATTATGGTCCTTTATATTTTACACAGCATGAATAGTTAATATTACTATTTGTAGCCCTGTTGATTGTAAGAAGAATTTTTCTACACTAGTATATTATTTCTAACATTTTAAAATTGGACTTTTTTGTGCTCCCATCTTAGTTTCCGAAGTCCTGATTTGAAGAAATTTGTACACAACCTGACGATGTCTTGATCCATTTTTACTTTAGAAAATTAAAAAAAAAAAGAAGCAAATATCAAATTTGTTCCCCAAAAGTGAGTGGATCAAACTTAAGGGCATCTGTGTTTCACAAATACGTAAATTTTATTTTTGAAACATCTATGTTACATTGGATCTAAATATAGTTTCAGTGTTTGTTTGCTTTTTATGATTTTTATTTCTTTTTTATTTTTTACATTTTTTTCCCAAAACTTTCGACCCTTGACGAGATTTTATCACGTGTCTGAGAATCTCCAATGGATTTCTGCAAAGCATAAACCCTCAAACACAAAATTTTTAGTCCCTGTAATTATTTCAGATTTGTGCAGTTTGGAAAATGTGGGGGAATTCTATGAAAGTTCCTTGGTTCTTTCAGTAATTTTATTAAAGTATCATTTTCGTTGTGTTTTGCCTTTTTCGTATTACCATGTACAAGAGGTCTAGTTATTTTAGCTTCTTTTCTCTTCATAGTACAGGTGTACGCTAATGCTACACATGAACCATTCAGTGTATTTTAATATGACAAACAAGTACATTACGTACTAAAAATCACTTTATACTTTTGTATTTCTTCAAATGTTTGAGGATATAACTCTTTCATTCTTTCAATGGTTTGATAAAAATAAATTAGCCATACATCTACTTCCCCTGCAGTATGAAGTTTCATATCTAATCTTGTACAGAATTGACCGATAATTTAATTTGATACTATAGAATTCGATACTATACGTGGTTGTGGAACACGCACAGATTTGAATCATTAAGAACTAGTACATATAAACTGTCTGGGAACATTTGTAACTCTTAAACGTTACAGCTTGATTTTTATATTAACCACTTAGATCTGTTATTCCCGTAATTTGACATTACCGCGCTGCTTGAATCAAGTGGACACTCCCGCCAATTCAATACTGTGATGAGAAAATATTGTCTTCAGTGACGAAATGGGACAGGAAGGAAGAAATTTAAATTGATTCACAGTACTTCAAACACTGTACGTTACAGTGGTCCTACATGTAAATATACTAAGTATGCTTCACTTATACGGAACTCAATTTCTCGTGCTTACAATGCATAAATGAAGTACCAAGTTTTTGTCGCCCTAAAGTGCATAACTGTGTTATTAAGATATACGAAAAAAAAAAAAAAAATAGATGAAAAAACCTTGAACGAGAGGAGAAATTTTTTTTGCAATCCAAAAGAATAATTTTGCATTTTTATGTTTTGTTCACTCATTGCAAAAAATAAAATCAGATAAATAAATAATTATAAATCAAGATAGTAATTATAGCCTTGATTTCCGTAGTTTACTTTCAGAAGAAGGCTAGGGGGATTCTGAAAATATGAGAGAGAGAGAGAGAGTGAGTGTGTGTGTAAGATAAAATATATGTAATTTAGATTATCAGACAATTTGAAAAGAATCGCTCATTTCATGATAGAAAATTAAAAAAAAAAAGAAGAAAAGAATTTATACTTGACCAGGATGTACTTGATAAATCGTATTTCTTTTCTTAATATTGTATTTTTTAAATCTTATTTGAAGCTACGCAAATATAAACAATCAAAACATGTGAAATATAAATAGACTATAGTTTTCAAAACATTAAAGAAAAGATGAATCATCGAATAAAAGTTCTTTGGCTAAAAAAAAATTATGATAGAATAGTTACAAACATGAAAATCTAACGTCATTTTTTGTACAAAAACAAACATTGAAATATATCTTTTGTGTGGGGAGGGATCGCCAAAATAGCAGTCTATACCCGGATTTACGTACATACGAAGGGCACAAAAGATCGAGTCATGACCCCAATCATATATTGTACTTATCGAATTACCTGACGCGTGTTCTTACCCTCTTGAGAACGCCTTTGTAATTCATGCCAAGTCGGGTATTTAAAGGGTATAAAAGGACGACAAGAAATAGATTTGACACATTATAACTTCCTTATTCCAAACTTGTAACGACAACTGAAAGTAGAAGAAAACATGAGCTTCACGGTTATTTTCCTACTTGTCTGCGCCACCGTGGGTATGGTAGAGCCACATGGATACCTTAAAGACCCACCAGCAAGAGGCACCATGTGGAGGCAAGGCTGGGATACACCTGAAAATTACAATGACAATCAATTGTTCTGTGGAGGAAAGCAGGTTAGAAAATTTGATAGAAAACAATTTATTGAATAGTTTTTACACGAGAGAGAGAGTTTCTTAGTGGTTTCGTATTTTTAGTTGATATAATAAATTTGTCCATACTCATGTTTGACTTCCGAGAACCGTTCTATTTCCAATAAAAATTCATACATTTACAAAAAAAATAAATATATTAAACTGTAGCTTTAACTTTCGAATTTCACAATTGGCCCTGGTTACATGAATTAACCCTGTCCAACAGAGCCTTGAAGAATGTAGTCCTTGGAATGTGAAAAGTCCCTTAAAAACCAACTAATGTTCTTCATATTCACAAGGAAACGTTTTATAAACATGAATTACAATCAAATCTGATAAAGAAATAATCAAATTATAGAAAGCGAACCATAAGATTAATACAATGAGAAAAAAATTCGACCAGTGGGGGAAAACTGCAGTTTTGGTAGTGGTGTTTTTTTTTTTTTTATTTTGTTGGCAAAAGTGCTCCTTAGTATTGTTGAAGAAATATATGATTGTCTTTAAATGATTACAACAATCACTATGAAATAAACCCAACTTAAATACTGGAAACGAATTCAAATAAAATAACACAGACTTAAATATAATAACCATGCATTTTTTCATAAGGAAAGACATATTCACATTATTTTCAAAGAATCGATAATTGTGAGACATTTTTTTTTTAAATATAACGTTAAATTTTTTCATACTATATTTCTCTCTCAATTAGGAATTTTCTTGAGTATTTTTATTGTCTACAATCATTTTTTACGATGTTCAAAAACAACCGATTGACCACGTTGATAAATCTTTTGTTGTTCATTTTTGACCTCACCTAAAGAAATGATTAAAATGCGAAATCATGAATACAAATACCGCGTACATTCGCATTATCTCTCACATGACTCAGTTGCAAATTAAATACAGAAATATCAAATATTATTATTCATCACAGAGCAATGGACCTCATTACCATGACCTTGCTGCTTTCGATAAATTTTATGATAATGTTTGAAATCAAGATTTTTATATTGAAAATACTTCACGATTACAATGCTGCGATAAAACTGATGACTAAGCTTAAATATTTTCAAATTGTTTATTTTGTATATGCGATCCTCCGATTTGATTTTTATCTAAATAGTGATATGATTTCTTGTCTTCTTTTTTTTTTTTTTTTTTTTATACCTTTATGATTATTTTATAGAAATGCATTCATTCATAAATCTGAAAAAAAATTAAGACATTGAAATAGAATTAGAGAGTAGTTTCTATTATTTTACATATCAGATATTGAAAACAGTATGGGTTTGTAACAACAGATCTAGATGTATAAGTATTTTAGACTGTGTTGAAACTAAAAAAAAAGAACTTTGCATCTCTTTTTCAGCACCAACATCTGACCAACGGAGGTAAATGTGGTGTTTGTGGTGACCCGTATGAGATGCCACAACCACGTGACAACGAAGGAGGTGGCAAATATTCCAGCGGTGTCATTTCAAAATGTTACAAGAAAACATCATCATTCATTGAGGTGAAAGTGCAACTAACAGCCAATCATCTTGGATACTTTGAATTCCGATTATGTGAACATAACGACCCCTTCACACCTGTTACTCAAGAATGTCTCGACGAGCACGTTTTGACATTACACAATGGAGGAGGCACTAGGTACTACGTTGCACCTGAAAATGGAGAATACACAGTGGAGTTGCTATTACCTGAAGATATTCAGTGCAATCAATGCGTTCTTCAGTGGAAATACAATACAGGTATTATATGAAAGCAAATTTTTCTTCGTCATGCATTTTTGTTACAGAAAACAGTGTTGACCCAATATTATGTCTTGGGAAAGCAATGCACACCTAAAATTATAACGTTATTTCTTCAGTTGAAAATGTTAAGATAAAAACTTACTTATATTAAAATTTTTTGATTAAAATGTTCTTTGAAATCATATAAATAATTAACTAAAGATTTATTGGTACATTTTTTTTACTTCAGGTAATTCTTGGGGATGTGAAGGTGAACTCTGTGGTCTCGGATATGGAGACCAGGAACAGTTTTATGGTTGTTCAGATATCTCTGTCCTGGAAAGCTGTGAGAATTTTGATCATTATCAATATCTTAACAAGCCTTCCACTTCCTCAACAACCACTACACCTACTCCTTCAACCACCACAAAGTCTACTCCATCAGTCACCACTACACCTACTCCTTCAACCACCACAAAGTCAACTCCATCAGTCACCACTACACCTACTCCTTCAACCACCAGAAAGTCTACTCCATCAGTCACCACTACGTCTACTCCTTCAACCACCACAAAGTCTACAAATGAATTAACTTCCACAACCAAATCCTCAACAACAAAAACAACCACACGATTGACTCCAACCTCTACTGCTTCAACATTGACAACTGCGTCGTCTGCCTATGGAGAATGTTATCCTAAACCTGAGTTTGAAGTTGAAAAAGACGCTTTTGATGAAATATGCAAGTTAGGTTGTTCAAAAGGGTTGTGTTTGTCATACTATTGTGAATGTAAAAAACAACAGTCCACGACAAAGTCTTCAACATTAATGACCATTATTTCATCATCTGTAATACCTTCATCATCATCATCATCATCATCACCATCGTTATCGTCAACATCAACAACAAAATCAACAACAACAACATTATCACCAACAACAACTCAGTCATCACAAAAATGTCAGTATGTAAAAGTGACGGATCTCTATCAAGGCGTCGCTGGTATGTTAGACTGGTGTGTTCAGCAATGCCTCATTAACATATGTCCAAGTTCTCATTGTATATGTTAAGTAAATTTTTTTGATATCTTTTGAAGCTAAGAGTTTTATTGGTTTTGTAATTTGTCTCAATTTTTTTTCTCATTTTTTAAGAATCATTATTTATGTTATTATTGTTCCTCCATGTATTGAAATAATGCCGAAAAAGTGAGGGGGGGGGGGTTGTTTTTTTTTTATGCATGATTCATGATATTGCTAGTCATCATACTCCAATGTACTATAAACATGCAGTGAGAATATAGAACTTTTATCAGTGCAGTTCTATGAACAAATTTATTTCTTGTAGTCCTAGAACCACAAAATATATAAATCAAAGACCATGTTTTCTAGTATACATGTATATATCAATTTACACATATATCACTAAAATCTATTCATGCATGTACCTTAAACAAATGGAAGAAATCCTGCCATAGTGAGATTATATGTTATTTTATAATAAGAAACCCCATGTTTGACTTTCTTTGTGTTTAATAAAAGGGGGGCACCATGATGTTGTTTATACATGAAAAAATGTTGTTATTTGAATAAAAATGTTTTTTTAAATAAATTGCTTTCAATTATTTTTTAGATATAAAGTTGTCCCTTACATTTGCATATGGTATGATATCTAATTTATGACTGATTCGAGTATGAATGAGAATTGGAAGTAATTTTGTTGTAGACGGTATTTAAAATTTTGTATGTACTTAGTATTATTCTAAGGTTATCTCTAGAATGATCAGTTCATTTTTCTGCTTTTGACATTAATACTCAATTTTCAATTTAATTTTATTCCCTCTAAATATTTCTTATCCTCCCAGTAAAAACTAGAGGTACTGTGAGCACTGAGCTCACAAAATGATACCCCCCCCCCCCTTTCCCTCCACCCATATGATTATAATGGCAAAGTTCATGTTTTGCTATTGGAGACCTGAAATAAGTGTCAGATCAAAAAGTGAAATAGAAGGTGCACAATAGCACTATGTAATAAAGAATCTGTGAAAGTATCATTAAATTGTATTCAGTGGTATAGGAGGAGTTGCGGATAAGAGATGCGTACCCCTCAATATTATAGAAAGAATAACAGTGTCCATGTTTTGCTATGGGAAACCCAAAATATATGTCCGATAAAAAAGTAAAATAGGAGGTGCACAATGGCACTATGTAAGAAAGATTCTGTGAAAGTCGGTGAAAGTTTCATTCAGTAGTACATGTAGAAGAGGAGCTACGGATAAAAGATGGGTACCCAAAGGCGTAACGGTCGGACGAACAGACACCCCCATCCCTATATACCCTCCCTGCTTTTCAAGCGGGGGTATAAAAAGATAATTGTAATCAAATTTTAAAATTTTTATGTATTTAGAAATGGATAGGCACTTAACACCACAGTAGGAGATGTACTGTCATATTCTTGTTGGAATGACTTTTAGAAACATCAAATTCACATTATTTAGCCTTAATTCTATTTTCAACTACATTAGCCTTATAAATCATTTTCATATCCCTACCCCCTCCTGGAAACCAAGGTGGATGGATTGCCAAACGGAGGCATGTTGATTATCAGCAGTTCTGGACTTAAAAACAAGGATTATTTATTAAAAGCAAGCCGTCACGTATGAATTCAAATTTGCTTTCATTCCCCTTCCCCAAACATATCTCGATTTTCGCCATTTTGAGTTGCATTTTCGACATGCATTTGATAGAATATATTGTAAAGTATTTTGTAAAGCTGCTTCGTGATATTATCTAAAATCTTAAGAGGCTGCAACTTGCAGGATCACCTCATTTTTCTTTATTCTACTAATTTCATCACTTATTAGAATCCTTAATACCCTTAAAACTAAAAAAAACTCAAATAAAAAAAAGATTGAAGATCTCTAGTAAAATAAAAAAAAAAAATGTCTATTGTCTCTCCATAAGAACGTGCTTTTATGCACATATTAATTAGTAAGGACGTTTGAAAATGCCTGTTGTAAATAACTCTGAGTAAACGTTCCAGACTGCGGATTATTTTTCAAGAGAAAGAATTTACCTGTAATACGTGTTAATGTAATAAGAACATACTGCTTAACAGATGAAATATTCATGTTTTTTTTCTAATTATCAATTTAAAACATATAGTTGTTATGACTCAAAATGTAAAATATTCCTGCAAATTATTAACAAAAGTATAGTTTCCAGAGTAGTGATATCCATAGTTGTGGTCCATCTGAATATTCTTTCAAGTTCAGTTAAACTAATATATTTTTACTTTTCATAAATGAATAAATTTTTAGTTCAGGACTCGATCATCAAGTCTGTATTACTACAGACCTACCTGTACTGTTCTAATGAATGGAAAACATGTGAAGACATCGAACATTAATCAATCTCTCTAATCCTATAAACAATTTGAATCGAGAGAAGAACAAACACACACACCCCTGAAAACACTGATGTGCCTAGAAAGAATAAGATTTCCTTGTCAACCGGTTATACCTGTCATTATCCCTCTGGTAAACGGGGCAGTTCGTAGTTACAATTAGTTTCAAACTATTACTTAACAATTGTTACAAAGCATTTCAGTCAAAAATGGACCCAACGTTAGTAGTATTTGCAAACAATATCACTATATCGTGCATAGAATTTGCAAAATGCTGACTGTAAAAGACATTGTTGAAAACCCTGAAACATCAAATTAATTGTCCGTAGTCTTGCTCTGTTAAAAAAAATGATAGTACTCTGACATGTTCTGCTTAACAAATAAGTTAGGAGATAACTACACCACATGCAGATGATAATGGAATATTACTACATAAGATAAGTTGACGATGAAAAAGTTGAAGACATCCCGTTTGTAATATAATTTAGTTGTTTGTAGGCCGTTAAAGTCTCTACTCAGTAAAACATTCAATTATCCGCTGTCATTTATTTCGAGTTCACTGGTATATATCGAGTCAATATATGAATGAGAATAACTCGTTAATTGATAAAATGTCGTCCATACAGATATATCTTGCTGTAGACTCCAGTAAGTGTTTTCATCTTCTAGAGTAGAAAAAGATATTCTTTAAATCAATTCTGCTTTATAAAAATATAAATTAGAGAATCACAGAAAGTGTCCATCAAAATTCTTAAAGAATTGTATTTTTGTTATCAAACCCCTTTTCAATATCTTGGTTTGTAACTTATCTTTAACTTTGTTCATTAGCTTTCTAATTATTCTCACAATACGAAAGTGGTCCAATATTGAGGTCTGGAAAATACAGTCAGACAGAAAGATGTATAACGGACAGCCATTTAACAGAAGGCATTATTTGAACTTTTGATTCAGATGAGGCAAAATAGTCTTGTTAATAGCAAAGTATTAAGGAAAAAACTCCAACCCCAAAAAATCACAGGAAAATAGTTACATATATCTACATACACCTGTAAACGTCTTGTCAGTGGGAATGGATTTATATTGTAGTTTTAACGTAAGTGCAACTAGAAACCATTCCTCAAATAATTAGCTCTACAGACGAAGAAAGTAAATCAACTTCATGTAATATCGTTTTTTTTTAAATCCCTGATTTTTGGTATCATGAACTATGGCAAGGATTTTTTATGGGGAAAATGTACTGCTTATCTCTCTTTCCCCGTTGTTTTGTAAAACGGAGACTGATTTTAAATAATTATCTGTCTTACCGGTGTCAACATTTAACACACAAAGAATATCTTTTTGTTCATACGAGTTTTATATATTATTAGAAGGATCCATATCTTATAATTTGGGAAAAATTTCCTACCTTATGATGATCTCACAGTGAATCATTTAATATTTTTAAAGCTTTTGAAACACAGTTTACCATCTACTTTTTCATGTTGAAAATAATAAATTGATATATGTATTTTTAGAAGAAAGGCAATCTGTTAAATGTTTTACCAAATTTTTGGGGTGAACTATACAAAATATCTCCTAAGACTTTCACAGAATCTTTATTGCAGAGAATCTTTGTACACCTCTTACTTAACGTCTTGATCGAACGGATAGTAGGGCTTTCCCATAGCGAAACATTGACACTGCCATATTGGAGGTACCCATCTCTTATCCATATCTTATCCATAACTCTTACTACATCGCTGAATAAAATTTAGTAATACTTTCACAGAATCTCTATTTCACAGTGCCATTTTGCACTTCCCAATTTACTTTTTGAGCTAACAGATACATGTATTTTGGTTTTCACATAGCAAAACATGGACACTGCCTTTCTTTCTGTAACATGGGGAGTACCCGTCTCTTATCCGCAACTCCTCCTATATTACTTAATGAAAATTAATTAAACTTTCACAGATCTTCATTATATAGTGCCATTGTACACCTCCTTTTTTACCTTTTAGTGGAACAGATATTTGGAGTTCCCATAGCAAAACATGGGCACTGCCATGATTTGTATAATATTGTGGGTACCCATCTCTTATCTGCAACTCCTCCTATACCGCTAAATAAAATTTAATGAGACTTTCACAGAATATTCATTCCATATTGCCATTGTGCACCTTCTATTTTACGTTTTAATTAGACAATTGAGGATTCCCATAGCAAAACATGCATACTGCTATTCTTTCTATAATATTGGGAGTACCCATCTCTTATCCGCAACTCCTCCCGCACTACTGAATAAAATTCAATGAGACTTTTTGAGAATATTTACATGTATTACGTAGTGCATTGTGCACCTCTTTTTAACGTTTTGGTCGAATAGATATTTGGAGTTTCCCATAGTAAAACATGGACACTGAAATTCTTTCTATAATATTGGGGGTACCCATCTCTTATCCGCAACTATTCCTATTTACTGAATAAAATTTAGTTAGACTTTCACAGAATCTTTATAACACAGACCATTGTGCTTTTCAAATTTACATATTCATCGGACCGATATTTAGGCTTACCCAAAGCAAACAATGAACCTGGTCATTATACTTTTAAGGGAGCTCGGTGCTCACATTTCTTTAGTTTTATTTTATTCTGTGATACAAATTAAGAAATCTATATCGGAAGACAAGTACTTCTTATAATTCACTAGTTCTGGCCCATAAACTAAAATCGCGGCAGTTGTAATATCAAGCATGAATATTAGAAGTAATGCAGTCGTGCGAACAAGCATGAATTGAGAATCTATATTAGCGATTCACTAATGTATGTATGATAGGGAGTTATATGTTCTTTGAATTGGCTTGTTTTGATATGGCTTTTAAACTTTTAAACTTTCGATTCTGTGTCCGAAAGAAGGATTTCATTCTGCATCGCAAAATTGAATAGTTATCAGGATTTTGGTTATTGTTCATCTACATACTTTAATCTGACTAGACGTTATGCTAAATAAATAATCAGGGACATCCTAATTGTAAGTTTTAACTAGACGTACTGTAAGCACTGAGCTCACAAAAGGATATCCCCGCTCCCATATGAGTATAAGGCAAAATGCACTTTTTGCTATGGTAAACCTCAAATTCGTACGTGTCCCATTAGAAAATTTAAAAGAAGGAGCACAATTTTACAATGTAATAAAGATTCTGTGAAAGTCTTATTAAATTTTATTCATTGGTAAAGGAGAAGTTGCAGATAAGAGATGGGTACCCCTGTGTTTTTGAAAGAATGGCAGTGTCCATGTTTTGCTATGGCAAACCTAAAATATCTGTCAGATCAAAACAAAAAAAAAAAAAACAAAAACAAAAAAAAAAAAAAAAAAAAAATAGGAGGTGCACAATTGTATTATATAATAATGATACTGTGAAAGTCTGATTAAATTTTATTTTCGTGTTATAAGAGGAGTTGCGAATAAGAGATGGGTACTCCATATTTTGGAAAGAAAAGCAGTGTCCATGTTTTGCTTTGGAAAACCCCAAATATCTGTCTGGTCGAAAAATTAAATAGAAGGTGCACAAGGGCACTATGTACATGTAATTTAGATTCTGTGAAAGTCTGATTAAATTTTATTCAGTGGTATAGGAAAGGAGTTTGCGGATAACAGATGGGTATCCCAGTTGTTACAGGCCTACGGAATTACGGATACCCCATCACTATACACCCCTGCTTTTCAAGGGGAGGGGGTATAACAATTATTTTGATTTACATATTGTTCATATAAAAAGAGTTACAAAAATGTTCGTGGTTTGGTGCCATAAAATTACTGGTATGCTGTGTTTAACAAAATATATAATGAACTTAAAACAACAAAACTTTATGTGTTGAAAAGTTTAGCTTGATACGTTGATAATTTGCCAGTTCATCACTAAATAAAAATTTAAAGGCATTATACGATCACCCGACGCTGAGTTTAATGATGTTGACAATGGTATTGCTTCTTAGTGTCCGCTCCCTCCACCTCAATAAACTTTTCTAGACGAGATACCCTGGTGTTAAACACTTACTGAAACTCATCCTGTTTATGTGATTTTAAAATTTCATGAATAGCTGATTTCAAATGACAATATTGTAAATTGATCTAAAAAGATAATGGGTCTAAAGAGATAAAGATCCTCACTTGACTTAATCCTCTAGTCAGTGTTTAATCTACACCCACGTAAGCAACGTTATATTTCGACAAGACTGGCACCGCGTATCGGCATTAAATGTATCTCCCCTCTTTCTGAATCTTTTTGTCTCTCTTCGGTCTATTCAGACATTTGTTTGACAGAAAATCTGCGTGCGCTTTTCAAAAGTGAAATTATAAATCATGCAATAAAATTACAAACACCCTCTCCCCCTTTCCGGTGTCATTTTTTGATAAGTTAGGTTAGTTAAAGTTCAATCCTTCTCCAAGTCATGAGGCTTATAAAGCATGGACCTGGTTGCTGTGGTGCTAAGCGGATGTGGGTCAATGCATAACTTTCCCAGTCCATCGCAGATTAACCCCCAGCGTACCCATTGCAGCTGGGTGGACTGAGACAATGCAGATAAAGTGCATTGACTAAAGACACATCGAACAACATGGAGTGACCACAACAGGTCTCGAACCAGTGACCTTTGGGTTACTAGACTAACACCTGCATGTATATCCACTGAGCCATGAGCTCCACGGCGTCATTTTTTACCACTATATTTTTTTTTTCAACAGTCTCTAATGAAATAACGAGAAGATCTCAAAAATTTGACAAATTGAGGTAAAAGTTGTAATTTTTACGAAAAAATTTTGTCACATCACATTGATCAATTAACATGAAAATTGGACGACAAATGAGCATATCAAAACATTTGTCCCTGTTCGACTCACGATAGAAAAACGTCTTATTATCATGTTGTAAATTTTGAATTTACTAGGGGCAGGTTAATGCAAAATTTACAAGCCGTATGACATAGTTTATTCTGTACACAGAAAGACGATTTTGAATAAATGTGTAAAAATTCATTCATGTACCTTAATCGGTTTTAATTTTATGACACAATTGCACGAACCTTTTGATAACACTTCGTATACTTGTCAATGGTTCAAGTCCTGTTTGTAAATGTAAAAAAAATTAAAGAAGCCAAAATTGGCATACTGGATACATACTTTTTGTGCTCAATATTACTTTTTCTAAATTTCAATTTCTGCCACGATGTGTCAGACAAGTGCTATGAAAAAATATCATTCCAAATGACTAAAGGCCATCGCGATAAAGGTAGGTTTTTCCTGTTCAACATACCTTTGTCCGAAGCATGGTGAATATTGAATTATTAAAAAAAAATCTTTTTTAATAATATTTTCTCAATGAATAGCATAAAACTGCGTCACAAATTCATATTTTAATCACATAATACATGTTTAGCTCCATTTTGATAATATTCGGTCGGTAGGGATATCTCTAGAACTTGTTCAAGTACGAGGGTGTCTCTTTTTCTTTGGTCCAACATATCCTTAAGGACATACGCAACGTACCTTACCTGCTGATAATTTTTCAAGATATTCTTAATTTAAGATTATAGTGCCATCAGATATTCGTAGACAACAAATCAGCATGCATTACCAGGGATTTTGAAAAGATATCAATTGATAAAAATTCTTGTATAATTCAAAGAAAAATATACAAAAATTACTAAACATATTTCTAGATATTTTGTTTATCCAAACTTGTTTTAGAAGAAGTGGACAACAGCATATTTAGAACATAAAAATGTAGCACACAGTTCCTTTAAGTATTGGAACTCTTCAACTCCAGGGAAAAAAGACAATGGAGTTCAAACTACGTTGAGTATGTCCTTAAATATACTGGTATATCCTTCATAATTTTATCAAGGCTTGGCTTTTTGCATAATTATATGGATTTTCCATAATTTAATTTTTTTTTAGAAATAACTCTAAAGAATATGCACTCTATTAATCAATTCTATAAAATTTTACGTCATTTCCATGGTATAATGCAAAACACGAAAAACTTTTTGAATCTAACATAATGCAGGAGCCTAATAAGAACTGTTCAATAAGAAAATTGAGTTTTATTTCAAAATAAATACACAAATAATTAGGGTATCGTTTGAATTGTCAAAAGTCACGTAGATTTATTAATGGTTTATTAATGATGTATAGAAACAGCTCAAAGGTACATCTGAACTTTTTATACAAAGCATGAGGAATGTTGAATTTTGTTTAGAGTTATTTTAATTAGGAAACTTAATACATTTTATCGAGACAAAGAGGAGGGCATTCTTATCATTCAAAATAAAGGAAAAAAGACATTTCTTTTTCATGGGTTATCTCTTGTTTTAATTACCTAGATTGACGCGCTTATATGATGTCCCGGTGTAATCGTGAGAACCCAAGAAATGCCTTAGATCTTTACAAGAGTTCGTTATATCGGATGATCTCTCTATTATGCTGAATTGCTTTATTGCATTTTTAAAAATTTCGAATCCCTTTGAAGGTCACCTGCGAAAGGGAGGTCGCTTGGATTTTAATGTTCAAGACATTGTTTTTCTGACAACATAAATTACCTTGATCAAAATCAAGTCATTTATTGAATGACGTCAATAAAATAAGAATTCAGGAAAGATAAAACAGCTGTTTCGTCCAAAATTGGATGGCAGTTCTTTTTTTTTTCCAATATATGTACCAAGTATTACACCTGCATTCCTGTAATTGAGTTCATATGTGGTCACAAAAAAAAAACAAGTTAGAAAAAAACTAGTACTAATCAATTTATTTTGTTTAACGGTCATAAGAATGTTGAAAAACGAGATACACTGTACATGTATAATAAAATAACAAAATATAGTTATGACATTGTGTTAGGACTGGATTGTTTGATTATATACATGTATATATATATATATATATATATATATATATATATATATATATATATATATATATATATGAACAAGGCTCACATCAAATGGCACATCATAATTAAGCTCGAAATACATCATGCAATAATTTATGGCATTAATATCATTTTGTTTTTAGATTCACATGCAGTTAGAGTAACCAATCAATGTATACATGTATGTGCATGGAAAGAAAATGGATTGCTTAATATGGATTAAATCATTGAAACTAGAAAACTTAACATTTGAACATATGCAGATGTCAAAATCCTTGCAGAAAAAATAAAATACATTCCATTGCTAAAAAGACACACTTTTTCATCAATAATTCACTAAAATGAAATGATAATAATAATAATAAATGATATAAATTAATTGCAGGGATTTCAAAGGTCTTCACACTTATTTTAATAAACGACCTAATCCTGAAAAACTATACCACATGTAATAACATTTTATTTCAGTGGTAGATATATGTTTAATAACAATTGAAAAGTGGTAAGAAAATGCTCATTAAATGTTTAAGATGGGTAAAAATAAAAAATAAAAAAGCACTCGGAATTTAAATTAAAAAATTATCCATTCTCAGACATGGAATTCTTATAAATCGGACGGAGAAACATCTTTGCGTAATGTAATGTAATGTTGTGTAATGTAATTCTCTTACATTCTGAAAATGTTATGTGGTCGAATACATAGTTGAAATTTGCTCTTTTACATAAACCTTATCTTATAGTCCATACTTCATGCACAATCTTTTAATATGGTAAATAAACACTCATTACATATTTATCTACCTACAACAGGAATAGGAATGAAAATACATTGAATTGTCCTAAATTTCACTGGAATAAAACACAAAACATGAAAGCACAAGCTTTGTACTATAAAATGCATGTTACAATATCACAGCTATTAAAGCATCTCCTTAGTAGTCCACAAAACTATAACATTACAGAAAGGCGCATATCATGGCTTTTCAGTTACGTAACATATCATCTTTGATGTGGAGAACGAGTTAAGTTTTATACCACAGGAAAAAAGAAAGAAAACCAAGGGTAAAAATATAAATTAAATTTAAAAGTATCTTTTTCCCTTGTTGTCAGCGGTTTAACCCATCATTTTGTGAAGTACGTTAACTTGGCTATGAGATAAGAATTGATGAGCTTCCCATGGCATTTTCGGAGATTGTATGTTTCTTAACAAAATGAAGAACGCACGATAAAACACCTATAAACCATGTCATATTTTTCGGATGATGGATATGCAACCGAACGTTTTCAGACTATTATTCAGATTTTCAAATTAAGTTCTGTATATATATCTTCCAATTCATTGCATATCCTTAAAATGGCTGGACTATAACAATGATGCAAGTTTGCATTTCGAAAGCCTTGCATAATATCCTGTGTACTGCAAATTACATATAACAGCGTTATTGTCAAAGTTGATTTCAGCAACCAACATTTTCGGGTTGACTTCCACCTTTAAAAGAAAACATGTCTATCAGTCATTGCTTAACTTGAGGTGATATATCATAAATTACTTTGAAGTATCTAACAACCGGTTATCATGGAAAGTGACAAAGTGTGAGGGTCTTATCTAAATGAATTAATTATTCCATTTGATATTCTAACTTTTATAATCAAACAATGTTAACTACTTGGCACAAAACTAAACTAAAACTATCTTGTTGCATAAAATTTCTGTGTTGATAAATTGCATATATTCTCGTTTATATATGAGATAGGATTTCTGTTAGTAATGAATACATATGCAGTCATCAAATTCAATTACCTTGAAAATATATTCTCCAGGTTCTAAATCTGTAATATCAACCCACTGGCAATCTATGTCAGCCATATAGTTGTCTGAACAACCAACACTTATTCCTATAATAAAATAATTACAATCGATATTTAAGAAGAAATTTTAGGGGCCATGAACAAAAAACAATTTAGCATTATATTTCTCTAACATGTATATTAACAAATTTGAACTCCATGAACTAATTTTTTATTTTGCTCATCCATTGAAAGAAGAAGAAGAGGTAAAAATGAAAACTTATTTAACAAGTTTTTATTTGGATTGTTTTACTTTTTTTTGTTAGTTTCATCTTATTTTTAATAATCTCATACAATTTCCATCAACATATTTTTTCCATGGATTCCTTCTATATATGTAAAAACTGATACTGATTAAATAAAATATCTTGACATTTTCCTAGTTTATACTAGCATAAATATTCATTCTAATTTATTCATAATTTATGAATATGCATGAATTTGAAGGAAAAAAACTTCTTGTTGCAGTGTCAATTTGCATTCTCAAACATTTACCTCAAAGCAAAATTGAATAAAGATATATGAAAATAAACATTATGTAAATCTATTCATGCACAGAAACAAAATCCTATTTACCTTGTTGGCCATAGTTTTGGCAGCTATACTTGGGGAAAATACCAGGATTACAAGCGGAATCTTCTAAACAAAAGCTGGCTTTTAATCCCTCTGCTACACGATTTCCATTCTGGTCCATAATATCATAATGGGCAAAAACGTCCATGCTATGGTAATGCCTGGAAACAAAATATTAAACTTTATGTACGTTAAAGATCATAAAGTACATTTAGATCAACTTAAAATCATATTGAAAGTAGTTTTTGGAAATGATTATTATGCACGGTTACATTTAATGATCTACCAAAACGGTCTTCCTTTGCTCATATGTATTGGTATTTGACTATTCCGAGATTGTGCTATTAGCAATATCTCAGGCAATTCATCGGCATTGTATTTCAGAAAATAAATTAACGATGTATGTTTTCCTGCAATACTATCATTTTAGTTACTAATGATACTTTCAAAATTTTGTGTAATTTTCTAAAATAGCTTTTAAAGGAAGACTTTTTTAAATTTATAAGAATTAACCTCATGATATCTGTGGAAAAAATGCATGAACATTCCTTCATGATAATGTTTAAATGATATCGCTTAACACTATAGTGCATTAGAACTTGTTCATGAAACTCAAGAATAAAATTAGCAATGTATATACCAATATAAAAGTATTCTTTGAATTCAGCATTGTACCTACATGTGACATGCATGCCACTCCCACTGGCTCCGGTCAGTCATTGGCTTGAAGTCCGCCGTTCCTATGTTCTTGACCACACTCGAGAAGCGCAGTAGGCGCCGAGTACTCTGTCTCCAGTCTGTCAGAGTGCAAAATGTGAGCATCAGTTCCAGTAAACCATTTTCTTAATGTAGTTAATTTCTCTTTACAACATTTTTTATACAATATATTTGTCTAGAAGACCTATATTACTATTAGCAAAAAACCAAAAAAGCATAAAAAAATTAAGACGAAACATATTGGCGTGTAAATAATCGCCGTTCTTAGGGTTACTTTAAACAATTCTGGCATCTGCACAATGTCAGATTCTACATCAAGTTCAGATCAGTTGCCAGAAAAACCTAATATTCCAAAAACGTCGAGGCATATAAATTGACAAATATCTTTCTGTCAAACTTCATCAATGACCATGTTTTTCTCCTCTTTTTTATTGCTTTTAAAAATATAATTTGTGAAATGTTTGCAGAATATTTGCAGACTGTTTGAAGCTTCTACATACATCGAGATCGTTGTGCTTCGTAAGCAGATGGTGCCAAGCATTTTTCTTCCATTGCACACTGGAGGTAATACAAATGTCTGTCTTGCAGGAATGTTGTTGTTTCTAACATGTAAATGCTAGGTTCTAAATCGGGAAGTGCTGAAAAAAAATATATCATCAATATATATAGTATCGACCCATTTCGATATCACTTTTACAATTTATAATCATTCAAAGTATTTCTGAGAAGCAATATTCTTTTAAACACATAAAAAAAAATATAGAATTTCTAGACGAACTTTGTCCAAGACGTTTTTTTAAGAAACGTTCATTGTCGTATTCCAATGTATAATTCAAACTAACGATTAAATATAAAAAGAAAACATAAGAAGCCTGGATTTTTTTCTTTTTTCTTTTTTTTTTTTTTTTTTTTTATAAATTCATAGAATAATATTTAAACTTTTTGTTGACCCTTACAGGTTTTAAATCGAACTTCGATAATTTTGTTCTTTTCAGATAATTAGACATTCTCTTAAATTTTAATTTGACATTTATTTTTTTGTTTAAAAATCATTTTTCATTTAAATCAACATAACCACAACTTTTTTTTCAACATGGTAATTTCATTTGTAATCACGAGATTTTTAATAATACGCTATCAACACCTTTGGTTTACACTTACAGACACATCGTTTTTGACAACCCCAATTAAATATAAAATTTTACTGTGATATTTACCTGATGTGCAGATGACACCAGCCACTGATTCACGGGAGGAACATTGCACCGCGCCCTCGTGATCCATCCACTCACAATCCGCCAGCCTCTTCTCATTTCCCTTACAACGAACCCTTGTGTAATATTTCTTCTGGTCACTACCACCATAGACTGCCGTCTACAAAATTGGAGGTAATGCACGTATTTAAATACATATAGACCAAAGCTGAAACATGACAGACAGCAGACTTTGCGTTCAATTTAACCAAACAATCAATTTGATACAAATTAATTTATTTTTGTTATCATTATACTGAACAGCAATATAAATTACAATTATACCAAAACGTTATCAGACAGGAAAGTGAACTCATAATAAAAATATCAAAGTGATTGTTTTGAAATAAAAGTTTTAATAAAAATTTAAATTTTAAAACTAACTGTTAATGGTTGTTGACCATAGCCAAGGTTTAAGCCCCTGCAGACAACCATAGTTTCTCTCATTGTCCAATGATCGCCACAAATCACACCCCATTCCTCTCTTCCGCTGGGGAGAATTTCGATTTTTCCGCGATTGGCTCGCTGACCAGCAAGTCTAATCTTTATCTTCTGAAAAACAAAGACACTTACTTTATTTTTAAATGGATATGAAAAAGAAAGACATAAAGAAATTGGTCAGAGACATATCTATTTCACTGATACAAATTGTTTTTAAATGAAAATTGAAATTCTTGGCGCAATTACACTAAATCATTTTAAATTTATATAATTTTTAATATAAAAGTAACCCCAGATCCATGCCCGTGTCTGTGACGATTTTCGATGCGTGAATCATGCTTGCGTGGTTTTCCATTGTGTGAAGAGCGTCCTGTGATATTCAAGTCCGAACCAATTATAACGTTGGAGGACACAAATAAAGTACTCGCATTACCACTAATGGTATTCTCCTCACTGCCAAGGGGCAATTGTCTCCTTGTTGGTGCTGGAACCTGTTCTAATTCCTGACCGGGTAAGGGATCGTCTGATTTCATCCGGTCATGAGAGTGCGTTTCTCGAATCTTTTCTCTCCTCATTTGGTAATACTCATCTTTTGTAACTTTCTTAGATCGCTGACCAGGCTTGGCAATAAGAACCTTCCCGGATCTAGATAGCATCACCCACAGTCCAAGATCATTATCTTTGATCCATTTACTCTTCACAAGCTTTAAAGCATAAACTTCATCTTCATATGTATTGGCTGAAGATGGCTCAGGGTTAGGGTTGGAGAAAGGAATGGGTTTAGGGGTAGTTGTTGTGGTGGATTTGAGTGTTGTAGGTTTTGGTGTTGTAGGTTTTGGTGTTGTGGGCTTTGGTGTTGTGGGTTTTGGTGTTGTAGGCTTTGGAGTTGTTGGTTTTGGTGTTGTAGGCTTTGGAGTTGTTGGTTTTGGTGGTGTAGGCTTTGGTGTTGTACGTTTTGGTGTTATTGTTGTCGTAGTCGTAGATTTTCTGGTTGTGGACTTTAAAGTAGATGGTTTTGGAGTAGGTCTGGCTCTTGCTGGTGGTGGTTCTTTTGTGGTTGTCGTTGTTGTTGGTTTCTCCGTTGTTGTTGGTTTTGATGTGGTTGTTGTTGGACTCTGTATATTGTGATAATTAAAAGCAGTGTGACAGTGTATTACAAATACGTGCTTAATAAACGTGACAGGAAATTAAATACAGAAAAATGCAAACATGCAAGATAAAAATTGATCAGATATATGTTTTTCCTTAATGACATGCTCAAAACATGGATATTGAAATAAGTGTAATTTCGTTTTCTTTCTTTTTTTTTTAAATGGAAATAGTAATCTTACTTCCATTAACAAATGTTAGAGATTTAACTGAAGTAAAAACATTTTTCATTCAAATGATTTCCAATGCCCATGGCAATGTCTAAATCCTCATACCCGTGTTGTTTTACGGCTCACATGGTCTGCTATACGGTTGTTTTCGACGTTTCCATGCGTCTTTGAAGCGTCATTTAGTGGAGAGCGTGTTATTTCATTGGAGACATCTTCTACACCTCTTTGTGCCTCGAGTTCAGTTCGCCTCCTCTTATAATACTCCTCTTTGGTTATTCGTTTGGGACGTCTTCCCGGTTTTGCTATTAGTATCTTTCCTCGAACTGTAGCCAGCACCCAACACTTCAAGAGAGGATCTTTCACCCAACGCCGTCTCGGTAAATTGATAGAATAAACTTCAGCTTCATATCTAAAAGGAGCAGGTGCTGCTGGAGTTGTAGAAGGTTTCTTTGTTGTTGTGGAAGGTTTCTTTGTTGTTGTGGTAGGTTTCTTTGTTGTTGGGGAGTTTTCGATATCCTTCGTTCGCCTTGTGTCACTCCATTCAGCATCATACTGCATACGAGAGCGTCTCTTATTCGTCACAATTTGGTTAGGAATGAAATTATCACTACCATTGTTTTCGGCATAAATTATACTTCTGTTCGAATATCTTTCAGATATTGTGTGTTTCTCCTCATCACCCCCATCAATATCTTCTGCAGCAATAATTGTTTTAACTGTTGGAATGTTATTTTCAACAGAAGAAGTTTTCGGTGCAATAGTCGTTGGCTTGGCTGTAGCTGTAATCTGTTTTGTTGATGGTCTTACAGTCGTGGAAGTGGTATGGGATTTTGTGGTTGTCTTTGCGGTAGTTGTGGTAGTAGAAGATGTGGAGGTGATAGTTTTTGGCATACAGACAACCGCCGCAGAGCGACTGTACTGTTGACAGTGCCTCTCATCTCTGTCTATTCCCCATCTTCGAGGGCGACATTTGTCAAGCCTGAGCTCCCTTCCACCACAGCGCAAGGCTGTCAGCCATCGCAATGCTGTAAAAAGTACAAATGCCGATGAACAGATCAAATTATTAATGTGCTGTTAAATCACTAATTTTCGTGGGGTTTTAATTTTCGTTGATTTCGAGGTATGAAGATATGTGCACCACGAAATGTAAAATGTCATATATAAACTACTCAGCAATTCTTCATCTGAAAATCAAATTTTGCTCAAACCACGAAAATTTGACCCCACGGAAATACATAATTTTACAGTATTTATTTCCTTTTACATTCAATAATATAATTATTTCACTTAAACTTCAACACCTTTTCGACTTCATGACAACAAAAACATTTTTTAGTTATAGAATTCAGATAGAATCTGGAAATCATTTCTCAATAATTTAATCGATGATTTTTTCTTAAAGAATTATGCTTGCTCGAATAAGAAGCAATGATATGCGGACATTCTAAAGTTCGTACATTTAAAAACCTGACAAGATATCTCATAAATCATAGAAAAAGGAGATTCTGGTGAGAATAACTTGAAAACTGTTTTCTCTTTCTGGTGATATTTTATCTGACGCGTTTGATTGCTGCTATCTTAACACACCAACTGTATCTGTTTTCATAAGACCGGAAACGAAACCTTGTAATATGAAAATGATACATCAGGGACCACCTAACCATGTATTAAACAGTTTCTATAGACAATCTGCCCTTTACTATTGATCCAGATGCACATGATGTCTTCCTCTAACCAGGTATGTATTTTTCACCCCACAACACCTTGCAAATTCATAAAATAAATTTGTCTCATGGTTTGTTGGTTCTAAAAATTGCTGTGATCTGATACCTTTAAGGTTGAGAGAGATAGTTGTTTTAAAACGAGCAATCTACAGCGAAGATCTGTCCACCCCCTGAAAGACGACACTCTTGTATACCATATCAAGCCGTATAAATGTATACAACTACACAACACTAACACGACTATCTAACCACAATCGAAAGGCCTACGACTGTGCTTGAAGTTTTAAAACAAGATAACATTCAATAATATTAAAGTTCGTCCATTCAAAGACATGGTTTTAGCATTTTAAAAGTTTTAAATGTGTAGATTTTTTTTTTTTTTTTTGCGTTATGAACGATAGACTTTTTAACTTTTCCAAGCTTTCAAAAATAATATTAGAGCAATGAATTTAGGGGAAAACTTTTAAAAGTGTTTACCTGAAGATAAAGTATTTTTGGTAATTGAAGAAGAAATATTTTCTTTGAGGCTAATATACAATGTTTTATATCACCAAGATGTTATCGATGAAGTAAGTGCTTTTTAGTCAGTTTTTATTTCAGAATCATAAAAAACATATCGAATCTTATCTAAAAAAGTTCAGGATGTGTTGTTAATATGAATAAATCCTGATTTCCTTTATTTCTCGCCTGCATTAACCAACATTATGAATGTTGTTGGGGGTATTTTGAATTAGGTGTTTACAACTTTTGTAAATAGCACCGAAATGCATCATATTAAAAAGATCTGATGAAGAGTTCAAAATAAATCTGTCAAATGAGACTCTTAGATGCTGATAGTTCCTGACAAAAGTCACGTTCACAAATGCACATCAGATAGAAGAAGACACGACGCATTAAATTCATACCCTTGATATCTAGGCTTGAATTCTTGATAATCAGCGATATAAGAGGCATATATAACAAAGACAGTAACAAAGGTTATACACAGATGCCCACAGACAGAGCAAAGGTTACATAATTCTTTGGCACATCTTCGGCAAACAATATCCATTGATCACGCATAGTATAGGTCCGTAAATCAGATTTTATGAATGAACTAGACGCTTTATTGTAATAATTGTCAAAAGTTTATGAATCGTCCCTTTGTTCCACTTCAACACGGAGACAGAACAGGTAATCATAGAACACCATGGATCGCTGAAATCGCATGGCTCTTATCACAGCAAGAAGAGATAAATCTTGGTAAAAAAATAAGTTTTGGACATTGAATACCAGGGGTTAAGCTCTGGGGTTAATGTGGATTCTTTTCTCTGTTTAAGGTAGGTGTGGAACCTTATGAGGCGTGAACATGAAGTTGACATATGATTGTTTCTTAAATTGCCCCAAGGACTGATGAAGAAAAAAATTGTCATATTGATCGGAGAGATTGCAGATTTATTCAATATGGCAATCATGAGTTGAGTTTTTTTAATGCAATATATTTCACCAGAAAAGGACCACACAGGTATTATATTACACGATGATATATCAACAATCTTTAACATTACTTGGCCTCAACATAAAAAGTCGCAGTGTTAGATTCTGGGAAAATTCTATCCTAATCGCGTTTGCACTTTACTTTTAAATAAAGCAGTCTTATGTTTTCCGAATGGTAATGCTAAAACAAAAAAATCCCTTTGAAATATTACTCGCGCTTTTTGCAATCTTAAATATAATCACATTTGGGTAATGCTAACCAAAAATATACATCAGCATAAAATTATGAAACGTTTAACATTATGAAATTCTGTTAGTAATGTTGGAGGAGTTCAGAAGTAACCTTTGTGACATTTGGATTGCTCAGCAAAAATAACCGCGACCTCGGAACGGCTAAAACAAGGATTCCTTGTTTTTTGCCATTCCAATGTCTGGTTCTTGAAACACTTGAAAGTAACAGCTGTTTAATCCCTGTATTTTTATCTCGAAAGCAGTGACCCGTACCCGTAGAAATTTGTGCGAATAAACGGTTGCTTTTTGCTGAATTTCAAAGAGTTAAAAAAGAAATAGAGAATTTTCTGGCAGGAACCAATCTTCATCAATTAATTCTAAAAAAGTGTGCTATACATGTTATCAGAAGGCAAATCAGTAATAAGTGAAAAGATACACTATTTATCAAAAGTAAAGAAAATTTACAGTTCAGAAAATTATAAGGTACATGTAACATATGTCTCTTAGTAAGAGGAAAAAATTGCATTATTCCAAGCTTTCAAACAATCCTCAAAAAATACCAAATTAAAAAAAATTAATTTAGAGCATCTCTTTATTTTCATTAAAGAAAAAAGGGTTTTAAAACTGTGTTTCACATTCTTTTTTAATTAAAAAAACTGCACACTACAAACTTTAATGACGAAAAAGAGCTGCATTATCAGAGAGGGAAAAAAAGGCCAAGGTTTTGGGGAAAAGGGTAAAAAAAAAAAAGGTTCGAAATAACGGATCATATCTCGAACACTTGTTAAGTAATGGTAATGCACCTCTGTGATCCTATAAAGAATGTTTGTCTCGCCCTCGCACATTTATTAATGCAGAGTAATGAGCGGATAGTGCCTTCCCAGCACAATATATTTAGTTTCATGCTCAAGATATTCGTTTACTCATGAAGTATGCACTTAATGCGTATGCCATTCATTGCAGCATGCTGTTTTTGAAGTTGATACCGTATTCTGTGATGAACATCTGATTAAATCTTTTTTACAGACAAACACGAATTTTCTTTCGATTTTCTTCTTTCATTAAATGGTTTTTGGGTTATCATGATGGTTTAGCTCGTAGCAGTCGTTAACAATTTACAATTAATGTTGAATTTTACACAAAAGTTCTGAATAACGATTTAATAATCAGTGGGGGAAAAAATTCAAAGTCAAAATGTAATATAGTATCTTAAATTGCATATTTGTAACGAATGGGTGTTAATTAGAAATATAGTTTAGTAAGTTGAAAAATAACTTTTTTTCAAGAAAGTCATCAATTCTTTTGACGTGTAGACTAGTATTTTTATACATATTGTATAAATTTTGACTTTTATGGGTGGAGATAAATACAAAATTTACAACATGATTAAGTACCTCCGCCCAATAATTTTAAAATTTACATTACGATACGCAAGTTACATGCATTAAGGATGTATTCTGCTGAGATAACTTGCATTTAACTTTTTCATTTAGGCATTTTAATTAGACGTATTCATTATTTATAACAAAATACGATGTAGAAAAAAAAAAGAGTTAGTGAGCATATTTTTGAGATACAAGGTATTGGAAATATGGCGGGAAATCAGCTTCTTGGAATTTTTCATAGACAATGAATGGGAAATTTCCTTCTCTTAAAACTTATGATCTGGAATCAAACTTTTATTAATACTTTTTTATCAGACTATCAAAACTACAAAGAATCAAAACGGAATAGATAATAGGGGTTAGTGGGCAAAAAATATTTTGATGGATAAAACCAGAAGAATTCCGTAAAAATGGCTGACACCTCAGCATAAAACATCCTTAAAAGAGCATGTTGGTAAACGAGGATTTCATGAACATAGATAATCAAAGAATCTCAAGGTCTATTCGTGACACCCTGTCGACGAATAGGTGAAACCTGTTGGATGACCACCAATTTATACATATACATGTACACATAGATGTACTGTATACAAGCTTATTTTGGCATTTGAATTAATTTATTTTCCTTTTTTTCCTATGAAATATGAGATATGATCATATCTCATAATATGATGTATAAATTTGACCCAGAACGAAAAATTCCTGAAATTTTGTATGTCAAGTATTTTCCCTATCAAAATATTCTCATATATACGGATCATACATGTATCATTAACGATTAAATTGAAGGGTCCAAATCTTTTTAGTTATTGCATGAAATATGTGGAGATAACGAACAGTATTCGAGCTCAAAAGTCAATTAAACATTACAAAATAGGAGCAGAGCAAACACGAACCTCGATAAGACATCAGAGGTGGGATCAGGTACCATGGAGCAGTGAGCATCCCCTGCCGACCGGTCACACCCGCCGTGTGCTCCTTGACATGATCGGGAAATAACGGAAAAATCCGTCGACAATTCAGTATGTAAATAATGGCCTAACAATTAGTATTAAAAAAGGTCAGTCAGCATTTGACTTAATGATAGATTGTATTTGCTGACAAGGTCATTGTATCGACCATAGAACTTACGAAATGATGACTTTAAATGAAACTGTTGATATTCTTGTTTCATCAACTTGTTTGTCAATAACTTACCTCGTTTTAGAAATTGTTCATACGTAGAGCATGCTCTGGCGTATCGAATCAACTGAGAGGTATAAACCCCGTATGCAGGTGATAAGGGTATATTCTGCATAAGTAAGGGAAGTTGACAATTGAAAGGTTAAAGTCATCACGTTTATCATAAAGCTTTGTTGTTAGATTTCCATTAACGTCTTTTTCTAATAAAATATTTAAATATGAAACAGATGTGTCAGACTCTGTAGTATATTTTATCTCAAGCTCACCGGGACATATCGTGTCGACATAATAATGGAAATAACCATTTTATCATTTTCAGAATAATAAGAATTTCAATGTGATTAAGACAAGTAGCAGCTTATTATGTTGCTGGTTGCTTTAACGGATGAACCAGAATTAAATAACAATGTGCATTATATTACATAAAATTATGTTATCTTGAAGCATTATAAATTAGTTGTTTCTTCTCCTCCTGATAAAAATATCGATGCAGATATTCCTGAATATATACCTCTTTATCTTAAATTTTTAAAATGCACAACTGTAGTTTGAGTACTTAAGCTATTTAAACACCTACAGTGTCATAGGTACTTCAAGTGTCGAAAAAAAAACGAGACATGAATTAATAAAAACATCTTATAATATAAATAATGTATCATTTTGTTTTAAAAACAGGTTTTAAAAAAAGAGCACGTAACTAAAACGTCTCATTTTGTCTTCTTTTCAAATTCAAGTTATTTTCCTTATTAAATATCGTGATCTGATCAAGCTACGTATATTTCAAAGGATCTGAAAACGTCTACGTGAAAAATATCATAAACTTAATTGAATGAAATGCGGGGGTGGTGGCGAGCTCCTTCATAATTTTACTTCATACAGCGTGAACAGACTTAACAAGAATGCATGACAAACGTTATGAAATTATGGCTACGTGTACAATGCATTTGCAGCATTGTGGAGAATGTTCCTCGTGATCTCGTTTGCGGCTTCCTTTGTTCGTAAACTATTAAGCTTACAAAAGATTTTTTTAAATGCATGTTTTTGCACTAATTGTTTCACAAAGCTTTTCGGGAAAAAGTGTACATAAGAAAAGGCATCGTCCTTATCTTTATTTATACAAAGAAACAGGTCAGAGAAAACCTATATTGTATTATTTTTGTAATGCAAAGGGTTGAAAATTTACTTTCTTATAACGTGTTATCTGTACGAATTTCTAGACATACACACTATTATTTGTCAAAATTTTTTGCATTATCGCAGACAAAACCTGAAACAAGGTTAAGCTCTATTGGAATGGCGCTGCATTACGCACATATCTATAGTCTAGATATGTGACTAACGACTCGCTTCGTTAAAAGTACGATATTCGGAACGTTGCAAGTAATGGCCAATTAGTAGGAAAACCAAAAATAAACTTTTATCAGAAAATCATCATTTAAAAATTTATTTAACAATTGTTTGGATGGTTTAGAGTATGTATATAAATTTCACAAATTATCATTGCATACATAGCAAATCGTAACCGACCTTCTAAAGCTTATTTTCAAAATCAAAGGATGAATTTGTCAATGGTTACGTTTGATGTATATTTTAAAACTTCTAAATGTATATTGTGTATATATAAAATGAGTGACCTTGTGACCACGAACAGAATCAGTAAAGGAACTATAGAACAACGCTTAACTGACGTCTATTTAACACCTGTTAACACACAATGAGACTTAAGCTTTTGAACACAATATGAATATAGATCAGTTATTATTGTATTGTAGACCAATGCACGATCAAATGATAGTTCATGTTTTTGTCTTTATATAAAGAATTTAATTTATTATTATAAAAATATTTACGTAAATGTACCATAAGTATTCACGATTTTTAATGTCTCAAATAAATGTTGTAATTGTATCTTCAAGTATCAGATTCCAAGTACACGGTGGATTTTATTGAAATGTTTAAAATTAATGTTAATATGTATGTTTTTAATTGACTAAATTTCCCGAATCCTTGGCATAACTTTGAGGTTGGGAAAATATTTTGTCTTACAAAGAAAGAAGTCTACTGAATGAGTACTCACTGCGTCCGGGTCCAAAAGGACTGCGGCGAAGAGACTGCAGTGCTCTGTGAAAGCCGAGCTGGTGGCAGGCAACATTCCCGTCTCTGATATCCCAGCCACGGTCACATATGCTCCCCCAGCGTCCGTCATGGTAAATAACGACTGTCCCCTCATTTTCAGTACGTCCGCCTATCAGTCTAATGTCACCGTCTTGGAAATCGGGAAGCGCATTAACAGCAGAGAAAATTCCAAAATATAGACAGAATATTCCAAACATTTCGAAAACTTTCTGGAAGGCTGTTGGAAGTTGCATTTTGGGCATGGTGATTGTTGCACAAAATATCTTAAACTGTACAATTGAGACGGGCTGTTTCCCTCGAAGACTGGGCAATTAGTGGTCTCTAATTAGTAGCGCGTGCACATTTTGCAGAATTTAAAATCCATTGGATCGCTGACCCATGCTAAACCACGCGGTTGAAATTTGAACTGTTTTACCTAATTTTTTTTAATTTAAATGGCCACAATACTTCCAATACCACAGATGTAGAAGAATCAAAGAAAACTTGTCAAACAACCTGTTCAAATACACCACATAAAAAGAAATTCGAGAAATATTGATACATTATAGTGACCTAAAATTCAGCTATATAACAGATGCAACGGATTAACACTAATCCAGTTATTTGACTTACTGTGTCACCAGCTGACTTTGCATAAATAGGTGTTTACGTTTAAAGAAGAACCGAGATTTTAGAAACATCATCGTGATGCCTTACCACCGTTACGTAACGCGCTGATGATCTAGGAAGAGAGACATTTATGAGGGCGTCGCAATCTATCTCACTGAACTTTCCAGATTCCAAAGGCAGCATACAAAAATATAAAAATAAAATTGCCAGTACAACCTAAGCTCACTCTTTTTTTACTGCATCCGCCAAATGAGCTTAGCTGTGGGTTTACCATGTGTGAATTGGTGTTGCAAAAAAAAAGTTAAATCTATCCAAAACTTGGGTCTCGGGTAACACTATAAAAATGTCAGAATTAACATCCCACTAAACGGCAAATAAAACATAATTTACTGCTCCCTCTGTCGTTTGGAAAATAATTATCGGTCTTGTCAGTAATCCGTCTGTATATCAACGTAAGGATTAGTCGTAGACAGGTGCTTGTGGAAACAAGAATACATCCTTAGAAGCAATCAAACGCGCCCTGACCCATGTTTTCAATGTTTATGTTGACACAATAAAGCACAAAAAGATACTGCGGCAAACAACAAGGTCTTAGTTTATTGTACACCCTGGGATAAACTTCCTTACATTAAGCACAGACGGTCAGAATTCAGCTCGATCCAGGAATGTTCCTTCCGACAACAGTTGTCTGTCAGGTTAACCATCTCGCAGACAAAAAAAACATAACATATATCCGTGTTTTTACGTAATCTTATCCAGAACAGATTTTTTTAAAAAAAATGAACTGTCAAAAGAAACCTTCCAACAACTAGCGATATCTTACGGGAGCCTAATTAAAAAATGTGAAATTTTGCTTTAAGTAATAGAGTTTTGCATAAAAAAAAAATCAGTGCCTCAAGCATAAAATTGCACCCATATGTCCCAAATGTCGATGACCCCGCGCGCGGAGGAAGTAGGTTTATTTGGGAAATACAGAAACATTTGCTCGCAAAACATTTAGTGACTTTAGTTTTGATCACTGGTTCTTGTGGACACCCCTCCCCCAGTTCGCATCTCTTATAACAACCATTAATCGCAAAGACGTTCTGCTACAGCACCATAAAGACTGGTCAGCGCTCAATCATCATATTAAAACAAGCATTCTGAGAGTATTGCACTAGCAATACTAGTCCCCTACCGGCAAGTGTAATCTGGTTCCCGTTAAAAATTGAAAATGCCATAATTAATTAATTCAAAAATCAATGAAGCGGAACGAAATGTAAACTTGATCTGTATCTCATCAAGATAAACTCACATACCAAAAATCAGCTCAATATCTGCAAGCGTTTAGGAAAAAAGTGCGGAAAACCAAGTGGGACAGACTGACAGACAGACAGAGGGACATACAGACAGACGGACAGACAGACAGCTAGACAGACGGACGGACAGACTCAGAGGAAACCTATAGTCCCCTCCGGTTTCACCGGTAGGGGACTAATAAATATTTTTTAAGGTAAAAAAATGTTAACCCAGATTAAAATTTCATGTGCATTCAGAGGAATTTGAAGTTGGCAAAGTGAATATTTCTACATGTGATACCGCTGCACACTGGTAACACTCCAATTTCAATTTCAATTCAATTCTTTATTCACTCAAAACTAGATCACTGGTACAAGAGGTACATATATACATATATACATATATACAAACAAAATTACAGTAAAGAAAAAAAAATAGACAAGTATATAAAGAAAAAAAGAAAAGAATGAAGTAAACATATAATCAGTTATATATATGGAGAATTCAAGAAGGACAGACAGTTTTGAAAATTTTCTTAATGAATTTTGACAATGATTTTTGTATTTGTACATTATTTGTGTTCATTAGTTCATTAAATTTGAAAGTGTTAGGATTTTTACAATATCTATTTTGGAAAATATTTTTCTGTCATTCGAAAAGAACTTGCATTCCATAACATAATGAAATTTATCACCAATAGTTTTACAATCACAAATGGTACATATTCTTAAATTTTTATTCCATATTGATTTCATGATTAATAAAAAAGGATGTCCATGGCAGTGGCAGCTATTTTTGAAATTTTAAACCCCATTTACTAACATCGGTATTTGCAGTTTGAAATAATTTTAAATGAAAAATTCAAATTAAGATTTTTTTTGTTTCCATGATAACAGTAAATAAAGTTTGTCTAGCCGATTCATTTTTTCTTTTGCAGAAATCAGTTCGACTTGATGCAAGAAAGGATCCTTCACTGTTTCAAAAGAATTGGACTGGTATAGTACCGAGAAAAATGACATTAAAAATTTTTCATATTTTCTTTCCATGGCAACGGAAGTCATTTAAATAATAGTCCCACATACGGACCAGTACCCAGGAGCAATGAATTTCACTATTTGTTAGAAGTTTTAATGATCATTAATTAAATCATGAAATTAGTCTGCTTGTAAGTTTGAAGGAGTACTAGTGAAAACGAAAATATTCAATGATAAGACTACCTTGTCCCAACCCGCCTGAACCCCTCACCAAGGAGATGGCTCGCTACCAAACATATTCAAAAGTTCAAGCATTACGACGACGGACGAAAACGGTTACATTGGTCACCTGATTCATTATATATGGTGACCTAAATAATCAACCAGTCCCGGAAGAGAAGCCTGCTCTCAAGTGCGTCTGGTTGTGTGAACTTTTGAAGTCTCAACTGATGAAGCACTATTTCTACAACAACATTTGATTTTATGTTCAGAATTATTTACTAAATGTAGGTAATACTTAATGTTCTTTTCATCAAAACATTACATCTATATCATGCTATATACTATATTATATTTACATTTCCAAATATTTTTTCCTTAAGATTCTTTGCAAATTAGAAAATTTCATGTTCTCATGAACTACCGTGGGATGAGTAAGAATATTTCCATTGTGATGTGACAGAAGTAAAAAAATAGTGCAAACTTTTTTTTTCAAAAATGATTGTTGAATGACAAAAATATGTAGCAAGTGATCAGAAAAATAATGTAAACATAAGATATTAATTTAATTTTTGAGAATTAAAGTGGTACATGAACTACAACGCTTCACGCCTGCATATTTATCATGAAGAGCTAACGCGCTTCATGAAATATGCCGACGTGAAGCGTCGTAGTTCATGTCCTCATGAATTCTCAAAAATTAAATTCATCTCTTAAAGCAAAAAAGAAAGAAAGAAAAAAGGAACACCAGAAAAACACTAAAAGAAATCACTGCATTCTTAATTTTCTAAAACTTTAATGATTTATTATATCAGTAAAAATGTTTTGACAAATTAGGACATGCCACAGATACACCTGACAACCCTTGCAGATGAGTATCATTTTTTGGGGTCTTGTTTTCACATTAAAATGCATTTTAAAGCGTAACAATAGAACCGAAGAAGACTCTTCCTATTATGAATCAATGGTTCGTAATAATTTATTATCATCAGGGCAGGTTTTTTTTTAATCTACAGTGTGCTAGTCACAGCGCCTTTTCATACCCGACGCCGACAAATGATGAACGATAAGATTTGATTTCAGCTGATTAAACAAAATACATCTTGTGCTAAAATTAGGCACATACTACTTGAATCCTTTAATAAGCACTGAAAGCAATTACTTTATTTATTACATTAATAGAAACGTTGTCAAGGAAATGTATATATCTAATATAAAGATACAGATATTCTTGCAGTGTCACTGTTCTTGTACAGAAGTCAGCTTAAAAAGATTAACAGTTAAAAAATAGAATGTTATCGAGAACAAAATCTTGTTATCAAAATTTATAGATAACAAAAGGAAATGTAAAAATTCCAAGGTTTATTTTCGTTGGGGTCAAATGATGATGAAAGAAACGACACACATCAATAGAAATTTAATACAGGACCCTAGATTAAGAGTTCCCCCAATTAGGAAATGTTGTATGCAAAAACGGATTAAAGACAACTTCTTTCGTTTTTTGTAGATCTTAATCAGGAATCTTAATTTCATATGTCAGAGCTGCATATCTGCCCAATTACTTTGTTCAGATTCAAAGAGATACAATTTAATGTGCCAAGGTGGATTATTTTACTTAAAGATTATGATCAAGTGCAACATTCTGCACAATAGTTTTGATATTCAGCAATATTAATCTATTCTAACCAAAGAAATGTTTGTAATTTATCATTTTTAAAACGTTTTCGGTACACAGATATCCCTGTTTCCATTGCATGCGAAGTGCAATATGCATATTAGTGCTTGCTTCTCTATATTTCTTTCATGTCTTCCATGAATTGAGCAATCTTCTAGAAAATACTAGAGTTCACTTAACGTTTCATCCAATTATGCAATATTATCAACTGTATTGCTTTCACATACTTAAGCAGGTATCCTTATAAAAAATTATAAAATATAAATTTTATATATTAAGTTTTAAATGAGTCAGTATGACAAATATTGATTTTATTTCGGATACGTTCTTCAGTCGCCTACACTGATAAAAAAAATTTCAAAATGAGCAAAAACAGCTGACATCATGTCATGAAATATGCAAGAAAAACACATATACCACATAGTATAAGTGCTGCATGATCTAGTGAACATTTTATCGTACTGACTCAGGCTACGTCTTAAAAGCCCTCCCTTAAACTGTATCGTATTTCAAATGAATCAAGAGAAACAATAAAAGCATTAAATAACTATTTTACAGACATTTCTATAGAATGTGTCGATTTTATAACGGCAATATTAAGTTACTATGTTTGTTTTTATGTAGACGTATTAAGACTAGATTTAGAGCATAATTGTACTATTCTGTCTGTTAGTTCAGATTTTTGGTCACAAATGTAATTCAATTTTAAAAACAAGCTAGTGTAGACGGAATAACCATTACTGTAGACTATCAAATAAATCCATATCATATTATATTATACTCTATTATAATAAGAGGCCCATGGGGCACAACGCTCACCTGAGTAATTTGGCTCTGCTGTTTTTCACCAGATTTTCCACTTGTAATACTCATTGTGGCCCCATCCTATCCCCGGGGGCCACGATTTAAACAATTTAGAATGTACACTAACCCAGGATGCTTTCACGTAAGCTTCAACTTCTTTGGCCCAGTGGTTCTTGAGAAGAAGATTTTAAAATATTTTTCTATATATTTATCATCCTCACAATGTCAAGGTTTTGTGATTTCGGAACTCCACACAAACCCTTGACATGAGTCGCTATTTAAAAGTTGGGCTAGAAAGCTACTTTTTCATTTGTTCCTGGTCTAGGACTGGAACTAATCAGAAAACATTTTTTTATTGTAGGAAAGTTTTGTAAACAAATGTGACTCATCTTTAAAATGGAAAGTGTCAATATTGTAGGATTTATGACTAGTTACTTTAAATGAAACATCGGGGATTAATTTTTTGAAGATCGTCATCCTTACAATCACAAAAGATTTGCTCTGGAGTTGGGTAATTTGAAAACAACGGATTTGAAAAATATATTTTCATTGGTTAGTTTATAATTACCCATTACGTCATGTGTAACAACAAGCCCAACCTTTAAATAACGACTTATGTCAAGGGTTTGTGTGGAGTTCTGAAATCACAAAACCTCGACATTGTGAGG